AGTCCCACACTGCCCCCCAGTGGCCTCTCTGTGAACAGCAGCCTCAGTCCTGACTGCTGGGAGGTGACAGCTGATGTTGACACTCTGGATCAGGGGCCCATCATGACACAGCGGGCCCTCTCTGCATGTGTGTGTGCAGTCGTGCTCAGGACCAGCACCATCGTTTTAAATCTTTGTTTGTTTGTTTGTTTGTTTTAATGCCAAAAAACATGAACCTGATGTTTACCTTTCGTCTGTTTGACTGATACAAGTTAGAAAATGACCAAATAAACTTAACAAACTGACTTGAAGGTGTTTTGTGTCTTTTAGTGTCTCTGGAGTTGTTTTGTATCCCGTCGTTGTTACGCTGAGTCTCTCGTGGTCATTTTGCAGATGAAGGGCCGCCGACACTCTGGGCCCCTGAGTCTGTCCAGTCTGCTCAGGTATCTGTCTGTGACCTGAGGAAGTTCATTTATATTTTATTCTCTCAGTGTTTTGTTTCAACAGATCTGTTCATATTTTTCTGTTCTCTGACTTTATATTTCTGGTTTTATTTCACATCATCTTCTGACGTTTCTTTGCTCCTCCTGAATTGAATTTACTGAATTTGTTTGATCGCTTCCGGACTGGAGAAGGTTTGTGGGTTGATGGTGTTTGACAGGCAGGTAGGAGGCTCAGTTATCTGTGAGTGTAGCTGTGCTGTAAGTAAACAGTCTGAACTCAGATCAGTTTTCTCTGACAGAGATGAAAGTTTAGTTTGAATCACCAACTCTGTGAGAGGACACCAGTTTAAACCTCCAGACTAACATGTTGCACATGAAGAAACAAGTTATGTTTCTGCTTCATTACATTTTAGTCTCAGGACTGAATCTAAACTATCTGTGTCAGAATGAACAGGGAGACATGAGCTCAGTGTCAGACGGGTCGTCACCTGACAGACAGACAGACAGACAGACAGACAGTTAGTAAAGACAGACGCACAGACAGAAGCTGTGTTGACAGATTTATTGCAGTTCAGTTACAGCGAGCAGTGTCTGAGCAGTCGATGTGTTCATCAGGTTCACATCAGACAGGTTAGCAGACAGACAGACAGACAGACAGACGGCACTGTGAGCGTTATACAGCAGCAGAGTGTTTTCACCATCACAGACCTGTGTGTAGATTTACAGCCCCGATGTGTCACTACTTAACTCTCTGAGTGTGACGCAGCCTCACTGAGCCTCATTCAGCCTCATTCAGCCTCACTGAGCCTCTAAACTCTCGTGCTCTCTGTCGTCTCTCAGTTTCTTGTCATGAAACATTCAGACGTCGTGACTGATGACGAACGCTGATGGTCACAAGTCTTTAACATCCATCACAGAAAACTTTAATTAAAACCTTTAAACTAATGTTGTGACATCATCAGAGTGAGTCGTTACATTCTTACAACCTTTATTAGACTTGATTAATTATTATTACTGCATTACTGTAAAGCCCTTAAGATGTTGTTAAGGGAGAATTTATTAAATGAACATTTCCAACCAGCTCAGGGACTCTGTAATGACATCATTACTGAGCAGCAGTGTGTGTGTGTGTGTGTGTGTGTGTGTGTGTGGAGGGTAAAATCCAGATTATTGCAGCATCTTCAGAGTCACGTTATCTGTCTATGTTTCCACAGCAGAGACACTGACCTCAGTCTTAAAGGGATAGTGCACCTAAAAATGTAAATTCAGCCATTATCTACTCACCCATATGCCGAAGGAGGCTCAGGTGAAGTTTTAGAGTCCTCACATCCCTTGCAGAGATCCAAGGGGAGAAAAAAAAGTTGTTTGGAAAAACCTCATTTGAATGTGAGACCAGCGAAAGCATGTGAACACACATGAAGGCGGTGTCCATGTCTCACGGTCTCGCACATGTGAGCGCGGTGCCCAGAGAGACAGTCAGAGCTACAGGCTACAATGAGGCTAAAAACAGAGTTCAAATGAGTTTTTTTCCAAACAGCTTTTTATGTCGGGGCTTCAGGACACTTGGATCACTACGGACGAGCAGTATGGAGATATTTTGTGGTTTCAATGATGTGTTTTTGGACGTTTGAATCTGGGGCGCCGTCAGCCTCCATTAGGTGGAGTTGTGTTGCTACCTCCTCTCCCCTTGGATCTCTGCAAGTGATGTGAGGACTCTAAAACTTCACCTGAGCCTCCCTCGGCATATGGGTGAGTAGATAATGGCTGAATTTTCATTTTTGGGTGCACTATCCCTTTAACTCTCAGATTAACCCTCAAGTCGATGGTCTGTGATTTCTGCGTCAGACACAGACGAGAAAAATTCATCCTTTCATGGTGGATGTTAAATTTTTTATTTAAAGCCTTTTTTTAAATAAAGTTCAGCGGGAAAGGAAACAATATTCATATTTAACCCTCGTTTTTAAACAGTTTTCAGCCTGAACAGAAGTTAAAAGTTAAAACTTCCTGTTGATGCACAGCTGAGAGAGAGAGATCATATGTGTGGTATTAAATGCTTAAATTAGTTTTTGTTGTGAAATTTGTGAAACTTCTAAAATGAGATCTGCACGAGGCTCAGTGCACTTCTCTCATTTTCTAATCTATTTTTTTTGTTCAGTGTGACTGGTTCAGACTGGTTCAGACTGTGTTTGTGACAGTAAACTTATTGAATCTTGATTTTCTCCCTCAGAACACAGACACAGACATCACTGCTGCTCAGGAGGAAACGAGAGATAAATAAAACAGATCAGAACAGGACGAGGACGGTTAGTGAGCTCACAGAAATCAAAGATCAGAAAGAGAAAGAGTTTGTTTCCATCTCAGTGACTGAAACATGATGACAGAGTTCAACTGATCGTCAGGCACTGATGTTACAGAAAACAAAAAGGAAACTCTGCAGATAAATAAACACAAACATTACAGTACATCAGAGTGAGTACGGAAGCCCTGAGAGGACACTGAGGGAAATCTGATCTGGTGACAGTTTCTCTCTGTGCTGAGTTCAGGACTGAAGAACAGAAGGAACAAGAAAGGTTTCATCAGTTTTACTGAATAAAAAAAACTGCAGAATATTTTACTGAGAAGTTAAATGCTGATTCATCATCACGTGTTCGCTCTCACAGAGTTAAACCTCGTAGCCGCCACGTGTGATGTTTCACTGTTAGGAGCAGTTTTTCCTGCGCAGAGCTCAGTCTGTTGCTCTGAGGACAAAATCTGTGTCACAACTACAAACAAGAAATTTACTTGACAAAACTTTTTGAACTGTTTTCATAGAAGAAGAAAAGTGAAAACTTTTTTCAGAGAGCTCATCAGCGGATTATTTTCCCTCTCAGCTTCCTGTCAGAGTCCAAACATGAAGCACCTGTGATGAGACGACATGTGAGCTGAGGAGACGTCAGCTGAGTCACAACGCGTCTCTTCTTCTTCTTGAGTTTGAACAGGACGTGAGGAGCTCGACTTTACACCACGTCACACACTCAGGTATTAACTACACACTTCGTCATGCAGCCTGATACATGTTAGCTGGAGTTGAGATGACGGTTAGTGCAGCACGGAGAGACGTCACTTATTTACATCATGAGAAGAAGGAAGGCGTGCGTAGAGTTCGTCCAGCAGCTGCTGACTCATGTAAACGTCTCATGCAGAGTCTGATTTATTGAACTGCTCAGAGTGACACCTATAAATGTTCCACAGAGCCTGTCGCTGTTTCCTTTGGAAAAAAGTTCATTTCATTTGTGCAAAACCTCTGATAGAATCAAACTCCTGCTCCTGATCAATGGACGTGAACGACGAAGAGGAGGAAGAGTGATCAAGTGTTGCATTAACTGTAACAGCTGCTGCATGAGTCCATATCAGTGTCATTAGCATCGGGACTAAAGACCCTGCAGGGGCCGGCTGCACAAAGCACCTTAAGTTGGCTTTTTAGTTTTGACACTTAAGGTTTCCCTTAGCTGAGGAAATGACTTAAGGGTGTTGCAGACACTTAGTTCAGGAGAGACGTTAAGGTGTTTACTGCACTGGCAGAGATTTCACTGCAGTAAAACTCTGCTGTTTCCATGGAGACCGTTTGTTTGCCTGCACTTGTGTTGGGACACAAATGTCACCGCGGTGTTCAGCAGACTGATCCGACTGCATCAAACCACAGCCTCCTCTTCTTCACTGATCTCCATAAACTCAGACATGTTTCTGTTCTGACGCTTCAGAGGAACCTCGTGTTTTATCCTGACTTTACTCCCTGAGCTCCTCTGTGCAACCCTTGAATGAACTTTAAGCAATTCCTTCAGTATAAGACTAAGATAAGGAGAAAAACTTAAGGACACCTTAAGGAAAAGACTTAAGGATGTTTTGTGCAACTGATTTTATTAAAGCAACCCTTAACTCAGATTTAAAGGAAAATCTTAAAGTGCTTCATGCAGCCAACCCCTGAATCTTAATGTGATGATTTAAGGGGAAATAATAAGATATAAATAATGTAATTTTCCTGTCTGTCTGAAAAACCTTCAGACGTCATGTCAGGACACTTTGGGACTCGATGTCGCTCAGACTTGAGCACATTTTACAAACCTGATCTCTAATTTCTGCATGTGGAGACAAAAATACATTTTTCTGATTAACTTTATATGTTTATATGTTTCCTCTTATTTACAAAGACACCTGTGCACTTCCTGTTTACAAAACAACAACAAACATTTCTCTACAGTAGGTAGTTTATCTGTGATGTCTCACACGTCTCAACCTCCGACCCTCAGACCCTGTGAATGTACCGATAATCTTCAGCTTCAGTGCAACATTCATCTCTGAAACAAACAGCTGATCACACAGATATGATGATGATGATGATGGTGATGTTCGCACACTTCGGCCTCACAAATAAAAGAGATTCAGGAGTTTGTCTAAATGAACTCAGTCACAACCTGCACACACACACGCACACACACACACACACACACACACACACACAGAGTGTATAATGTGAAGGTGAGGTCAGGTGAGCGGTGAGAAACATGAGATGTAAAACAGAACAAAATGAAAAGAATCAGATGAAATTCAACGTCATGATTTATTGATTCAATAAATGAGGTTTCTGATGTTTTTCATACATTCAAGTTAAATCAAATCAAATCCAGTCACTTCGTGAAGAAGAAACGACGTCTCCATGTTCAGATGGAGAAAAAAAAACAACTTTGGAAAATCTGATTAAATAAATAAATAAATAACATGACAATGATCTCAAACAGAAGCTGGTCTGTCTCGTCAGGTTCAATCACTAATATATATATTTATATTTAATATGATTGCATCAGGTCATAAATGATACTGCTTCATGTCCTCTCACCTTCAGACTGAGGACACATTCGTCCTGATTTATGTCTCCACTGACTGAAGACTTGTTAACGTCCTGTGAACTGACAGCGAGCGTCAGCACGAGACTTCAAACAGCTGCAGGCTGAAAGTGACTCTGAGCTGATCTCACAGACGTGAAGCACATTCAGTTTGAATATTAACGTCACATCACGTCTTTCTGTTTCTAACAACTTTGTGTGAATCCTGGATTTTATGAATTTAAGAAACTGGAGGGAAAGACATTGAAAATGAGCTTCACTTTCTGTGTGAACGTCTTTAACAACACGTGTCCTGTGAAGAGATGGAGGCTGCTCTGATGTTTGGTTTAAAGGTTCCTCCAGTGTCAGACAGTCTGAGCTGCTGGCTGCAGACTGACTCTATAAACTCTGCTGGTCCTGATTCTCCTGCTGCCTTTTTCCTCTGTCTGCAGCTACACTCACATATCTTCATGTCCTACAAAGAGCAGCTTTGTCTGGTGTTGAAAAGACCAATAATCACCTGTCAGATCATCTCCTCCCACATGTTCAAGCTATCAGCCTGATATCAGGAGGAGAAGCAGAGTCCAGTTACAGCAGTGTTTCTCCTGCAGCAGCCTGACGACTCTTTTCTTTTCCTAGATGTTACAGTCGCCTGAAACAAATCAGTCGCACCTGATGTGCCTCAGACAGAAGGGAGAAATAAACAAAAGGTGCACGAGGAGTTAAATATTTGTTCTTCTTCTACACGACTTCCTCAAACTCTATGGGAATCTTTCAGGACGGTTTGGTATCACAGATCATAACTTGTGCTCCCTGCTGCTGCTGAAGCTGCTCACACACACACACACACACACACACACACACACACACACACACACACACACACAGTGCAGTGACACAGTGACATCACTGATCAGAGGACAGTCACATGATCGACCACAGTCGTGCTGACTGGACACAGAAAACCGACCAATCAAAGCTGACTGTCAAAATGTTTCTGCTGCCGTCTCCTTCTGTCCTCCTCCTCCTCCTCCTCCTCCTCCTCCTCAGACTTCCTTTCAACACAGTGAACTCTGCTCAGCTCCTTGAAGTTTGAACATATGAAACGTAGAAATGAAATTTATTCTGTTCTTTAATGTTTCAAACTATCCTGAGCTTCTCTCAGTGTTGATCTCCATCAGCCTCACACGCTCTGGTCTACGTCACTGTCATACGTCCCCTCTGACCTTTGACCCCTCGGTGCCTACACACAGTGGCAGTGCTGCTGACATGCACGGCGCTCCACAAACTCTCTACTGCCGAGTGTCACGGAGAAGCTGTCACAACGTTGGGGCGACGTGTTTACGCTGACCGCTGATTTATGCAGCAGCGAGCGTGCCATGTCCCGCCGGACCGTCTGGAACCTAAACACAACCCTCCAGAGGAGCAGCTGTGGGCCATGTATGGGCCCAGTGTTTACCCAGCAGCCATCAGTCTGACTGGTCCCAGGCAGCAATGCCTGATGGGAGTCCGGCGAGCTGTAAATCATCAGCACGTACGTACGACAGAGGATTAGACGGAGCGCCGTCCACTCAGCGTTATCTCAAGGACCACTTCTCCGTCCTCTGACAGACGAGCGGTGAACACGTCGTCACTGAAGGAGGAGCCGCTCTTTACTGTCGCTTCATACGACCTGACACTCAGCTCAGCAGATGTTATGTCACTCCCTGCGGAGCTGAGCCACCTGACATGTGGACGACCACGAATCCTGTCAGCTGACCACGAAAATGCTTCTGCGTTTCTATTGATTACCTATTAATAGTGTGTTTGATCTGCAAACACAAGATGAATGTGAAACTGATCACAGTCAGTCGGAGCCTCTGTGTGTTGCTGGACTGAACGCCGCTGACGTCACATCAGCTGAGACATAAAGTCTGTTTCTGTTCATTAATTCATTCAGTTTAATTATCAGATTATTTTAACGTTAATGACGAGAAACAGCTTCAATAAATGAACAGTCAGAGTGACTGAAACTTCTGGGTTCAAATTAGAGCTGAGAATAAAAAATGAATCAACGAGTCGACCGACGGAAAATCTAAATTCAATAATCAATGATTTGTGTTTCTCATTTATGAAGAGAAACTTCTGAAGGGAGACAATTTACTGACGTTCTCTGTGTTTGATCTGATTTGTTAATGAAACCCAAAGATGGCTGCCGCTGGTCACTTGACTTCAATGTTTATAAATGTTCTATATTAACACGACTGAACAAAATGAATCAGACATAATTTAATTAATCACAAGCTGCAGCTGTGACTGAGACACGATGTCGAGCTGCTCGCAGTGAGAACACACCTGAACTAATCTAACAGGCAGCCAGATGAAAATAAAGGTCAGAGGTCGACTCAAATCAGATCTGACCTCATCATGTCGTCCGTGTTCACAGCTGCCGCACCTTCATCACTACGGTGCAAATAAAACTGAGGCCTCAAACAACTTCGTCTACACGACTGAATCATCTTCAGCCTCAAACTGACTGACATCATGTAAATGATCCTCAGTGAGCGTCAGAGCTCTGCCATCAATCAATACATGATCAATAATATCTGTGTCAGGGGAAGGTCACCGTGGAGGTCAACATCACCGCAGTGATCACACCCCTGAGTGTGTGTGTGTGTGTGTGTGTGTGTGTGTGTGTGTGTGTGTACAGAGTGAATCAACAGTCACTTCCTGTCACACAGCTGCTGGGAGTATTTTATGTTCGGTGTTTTTTTGCTAGCGTCATCAGCACCACAGCAGAATGTGTTAGCCACCTAGAGAATCTGTCTCAGTCTGAGTGTGTGTTGTGTTTTGACTCTTTCCTCCAGGTCACCCTCACACACATACACACACACACACACTAACTGATCGATGCTGCCGTAAACCAGCAGCTCGTCTTCTGTGCAGTAAAATGACTTTGAGCTTCAGTTTCCTGTCAGAAAAGACGTCAACGTAAAGCTGTGAACATACTCTTAAATATATCGCACACTCAAACTGGTACAGGATTCAATAGTTGGCTCTTTGTTTATGAGGCTACACACACACCGACTGAGGCAGCGTCTGATCACCACTGTTTCATTTCATGCACGTGATGCGAGGGTTTCTACCAGGAAGTAAACAGACTCTGAGATGTGGTCGTGTTCGTCGCTGCTCGTCAGAATCAGTCGGTGTTGATCTGGCATGTTTGCTGCCATCAGGAATCATCAGGTAATAAATGTGCCGCAGTGCAACTTTGGCTTCTTACACAACAGGAAGTGAGCTACAACCAGACGAGGTGATGATGTCATCAGTACAAAATGAGAGGAAATGACATCACGGTCATATTTAATATTAAAACTAACTTCAGTCTACAGCATGAATTTACTCCTGTCTGAGTGGGAATGATCAACATTAAACTATCACGTCTTATTTATCATGTTTCTTTAAACACGTGACGTCGTGTCTCTGGATGAATTCATACGTCACATGTTCATGTGTTACATGTTCATAACATGTAACACATGAACATGTAACATATTATGTTACATGTTCATGTGTTACATGTTCATGTGTTACATGTGATGATGATATTTTTGGATGCAGTCACCACAGTCTCCTCCTGATCTACCCTGTGTCCTCTCACTGTTCACAACATTTAACTTTACAACATGAGAACATGATGACATCAAACTGAGTGAGATGATGATGATGATGATGATGATGACTGTGCAAAGTCCAGAGATGATGTGTCATTTCTATGAGATGATGTAATGAAAGGCAAGACGGTTCACCTCAAACGTTAAACTCTTTAAACTCTGAGCCTCCTCAGCTGTTTTCAGATCTCTAGTTTGGAGAACGACCTGTTTTCACGTCACCGCATTTCCTCCACTAATAAATTAATGAGTCAAATTACACATGATGATAATAACACATGATAATAATAACACATGATGATAATAACACATGATCCGTCCAGACGAGCTGAACATAATAATTTTCTTTAGATTTGTGCGTTTTAAAGACGATCTGTCTGTTTTTAGTTTCTAAATAATCTTTTCTCTTTGTGGTGACGTGACGTTGTGAGAGAACAGCTGTTACCTCCAGTCGTCCAGAACCTTCTGGTGTAACTGGGAACCAGTCACCATCTTCTCACTGGTCTTTGTTTTTACAAGTGCTCTGCGTGTGTGTGTGTCTCTCTGTGGGAGATGAGTTAGCTGTTGCGTGTGGCCGCCTGCTCCTTCTCCGCCTTCTCTTTGGCCTTCTCCTTCTCGATCAGCTTCTCCTCCTTCTGCAGCATCACCATGATGTCGGCCACCTGAGACGTGGAGATGTCGATGTCCTCCTTGTCGATCAGCTCCACCACCTGAGACGGTGCAGGACAAAACGACCTCGTTAAAGACTTGGTTTCAAACATTAAATATTTCTACAGAACATTAAAGTTCAGGGCCGAGCTGAACATGAGGCTTCATTCAAGACGTCAACATTCGAACTCTGTGCCGCTTCATCTTTATTCTTTCATGAGAGCGCTCAGATGAAACGTCTCTCTGTTAGTCGAACTTTTTAAAACTCACAGAAACTACAAACGTGAATAACTCCAGCTCAACCTCCTCGTGTTCTGTCCTCCTGTTTACGCACCTTGATGACGTCGTCGATGTCGATCTTCCCGTCCTTGTTGTCGTCGAGCGCCTCGGCGATGCTCTGCAGTTTGTGCTCTGGAATGTTCTGGATCTGCCGCATGACGCCGATGAGCTCGTCGATGCTGATCAGGTTCTCCCTGAAGGTGTAGAACAGACTGCATACAGGAAATGGCATGTAACGAGATGCAGGGGAAACATGGCGGAGAACAAAGAGGTCAACATGCTGCATTTCAAGGTTCCCACATCACACCAATCAAACTCTGTTCATCATTCAGCAGGTCAAATTAACAAAGGACAAATTATTCTCCAGCTTCGTCTGCTGTCTCACATTCAGCAGGTCAAATTACTGTCTCACATTCAGCAGGTCAAATTTGGGTCAAATTACGTGACGTCATGCTGAAAATGTGTCTTCAAATCAATCACTGATCAACTCTGATACACACAGAGGGTGAAGACAGTCTGGGAAACTTTAAACGACCCAGAAACTGATCAGTTCAGTCATTTTAATACAGTTTCCACTGACTGTCCTGAGTGTTGTTAAATCAGACAGGAAGTGTTTGTTAATCCAAATTAAAAGTTTGGTCTTAAACTGTTCAGGCAGAGTTCAGGCAGTCTGAGTTAAATCTTGTTAATGCTGATAAGGTGAGTGCCCAGTGGGAGCTCTGTGGTGTCGCAGCAGCTGGTTGATCCTTTAGAGGCACAAACAGCTGACAGTTAAATTAAATCCATGATGCGATGTTAGCGTGTAGCAGGCAGACGAAGGCTCAGCTGATCAGCTGATCTTACCTCGACGCATCGCTGACTTTAGTAAAAAATAATCTGTAAAAAATCAGGATTTACTCATGAAATCATAAACTGCCGTGATGAGTGACAGGACATGTTGTTTCCTGTTTTATCTCCACCAACATTTCACAATGAAAATAATGATGATGATGATGATGATGATAGTTACAGTAAAACACTGCTTCATATAATATGATTTAAAAAAATGATAAATATGTTTTATGTCACAGCAAATGAAGCAAATAAACATCAGGGCTGCACAATAGTTATTTCACGTTTAGATGCTCAAACGAGACTTTACGCCGCACGGCTGTGCGCCTCCTTCATCAGTCAGGTTTCTCCTACAGACAGGCTCCTCCCCCTCCAACAGGTGTTCAGTGTTTTTGTAGGTTTTAAGGACCTGTGTCCACACGGTGACAGTGACAGCTCTCACACTGGACTCAAATCAAACCACAGTACATTAACTGGGTCATTAATATTTAATTAATATCAGGGATCGTCTCATTTAAGGAAACACTTAACATCAACACCTGAACGCAGCATGACGTGAACGAATCAGGAGCCAGCGAATCACTGTCATTTATAAATGAGACGTTTGAATCTAAACTGATTTAGATTTTATTGATCGTGCAGCCCTGATCAACATGCTAAGTGAAACCATGAAGCAGCAGCTGAAGCATGACGAGCTGCGGCACTAACGCAGGACACGACACTAAAGAAGCCATGAGAGCAAACAGAGCTGCGTTCTTACAGAAACACGTCAACATGTTGAGGATCATTTGTTTTCTCTCTGAGAGGAAGATGAGAAGATTAATAATAACTGAACAGAGCTTCCTCGCTGCCTCCACTCTTTATGCTAAGCTAGGCTAAAGACAGGAGGCTCAAAATAACAGCAGACAAACACGTTTCCTGAAGGTTAAAATTAAAACAAGTTTAGTGCTGCAGATTCAGGTAAATACAGGTGTGTATATATTTCAGTGTGTCAGAGATCAGCTGAGCTTCATGTCATCAACACGACGTCACTGAGCTGATGTTGTTTTAATTAAAAGAACTTTTCAAACACCAAGTCTGTGTTTTCATCACAAACCGTCTGAAGGTTCAAAATAAACTGTCATGTGAAGCTCCTTCTGTCTCCTTCTGTCTCCTTCTGTCTCCTTCTGTCTCCCTCTGTCTCCTTCTGTCTCCTTCTGTCTCCTTCTGTCTCCTTCTGTCTCC